TAAGTTTGATACAACACTCCTGTGGGAGATCTGCATCTAAGGTAAGTTAGCCCGTCGGGCAGAGTGGTGATACATTTTGGTAGCCCGACTGGAAAACACAATAGCCCCGGGACGTCAGGCTAGCGATTTTGCGAGCCCTGCTTTTATTCAGCAAGGATATGTTAAATGGATAAAAAGTGATAGTAAAGACATAGATTGTTAGAAAAAAAAATCTATTTTGAATAAATGCTTTTTAACTTTTTATTCATCAAAGAATCAAAGAAAAAAGTATCACAGGTTCCAAGGAAATATTAAAGCACAAGCAGCACAACAGTTTCAACACTGATAATAAATCGGCATATTAGAACGATTTCTGAAGGATCATGCGACACTGAAGACTGGAGAAATGGCAGATGAAAATTCAGCGCTGCGTCGCAGAAATAAATTATATTTTAAAGTATATTAAAATAGGAACCGAATAGTAGAAATTTCACAATATTACTGTTTTTTTCTGTATTTTGATCAAATAAATACAGACTTGATGAGCCTAAGAGACTGCATTAAAAAACATTAAAAATCTTACTGATCCCAAAACTTTTGAAAAGCTGAGTACACTTTTAAAATGTAATTTATTCCTGTTATGGCAAAGCTCACTTTTCAGCAGCCATTCATACAGGGTTTTGCACACGCTTCCCTTCCTCGCTTATGCTGTGCAGTTTATTGCCCTCTTCCAAAAATCCTTCCAACACATTCATCCCACTGTGACATACTGAGCCCTCAGCGGCCAGACCCAACGGTCCAAACGTGAGTCATCCTTCAGAGTGCACATGCTTTGCAAGATATACTTGTCCAAAAGTAACAGTGAGGAGGGGGAAAGAGAAGAAATTAGGTCACTGCTGGAAAACCAAAAAGATGAACTAAACACGCACAGTCCACCAGATCTGCTCAAAGAAAGGTGGCAGAAGGGAGACGGGAGAAAAATCACACAATACGCAGACACCAGAGAGATGATAAAGCCAAGAGAACCATACAGGTTCTCCATATCTGATGGAGGAGAGGCCGGAAAAACAACTGATAGGGAGAGAAACTGGAGAAATCCCATTAATGGGTCAGGATGTGAATGCAGACAGAGAAGGAGAGCAGGAGACACGGGGCCCCTGTAGGGTTGTGATGGTGAGGAAATTTTCCCACCGGTTAATCGACGTGTGACAACACCAGTAATACCGCTATCACCGTGGGGGCGGGGCGTTCCCTCTTTTCCTCGCTTTCCTTCGCTTTTAAATAGCTTGTAAAAACGGCATGCGCATTTTACTTTCACTTTCAAATCGCGGCAATTCAGCGTAAAGCAATTGTTCGTTTTTAGTTCGTTTGAATTTTCCCACTTTTCCTCTCTTTTAAATAGCTTAAAAGCGCTGTGCGCATTTTACTTTCACTTTAATTAGCGGCAGTTCGGCGTCAATTGCTTGAATGCAACAAAATACAACGTC